TCTCTCTCTCTCCCCTCTCCCTCTCTCTCTCTCTCTCTCTCTCTCTCTCTCTCTCTGACAGACAATAGGACGTTTGAACCTCCTGAACGCAGCCCTCCTCCAGGAGGGCGCTGGATACCACCGCCTGCTGCACGTGAACACGTGTAAAACTGAGTTCAGAAACTTCATGAGATGCTTGCCCTGTGACTCACATTTTCTGATATTTTATTCTATTTCATTTAAAAAGCTGCTGATCATAGCTAAGCAAATTGCTTTCTAGTCCCCTAAACAAAACACAACTGTAGTTTGAAACACAGGGAGCAAGAGGTCTCACTGGAAGGAGCRGTGTGTACTCTGCTCTTTCATTCAGAATGGAAATTTACTTCCATCCAGGCAGGAAAAAAAATAGATTAGGTGTGGTTTATGTACTAGTTCATTTTCTATTTCTATAACAAAATACCTCAGGCTGGTGATTTATGGAAAAAGAGGTTTATTTAGCTCCTGGCTTTGGTGCTAACAGTATAATCAGGCAGCCTCATCTGTTCAGCCTCTGGTGAAGGCCTTGTGACTGGTGGCATCACAGTGGTGTCACAGTGAGGTGACATGGTGGGGCGGGAAGAAGAATCGCCTGGCTAGACAGGGAGCCAGGGAGACTCGGGGCCAGCTCACCTGGTGGCAGGGCCACCCCTCACTCCTCAGGAGCTAACTGGAATCCGGAACCACAATGACCCCTGTGTGAGGAGGCGCCCTGGCCCCTTGCCTCCATCTGCCCCCCTTGCAAAGCTGGCTCCACACTGAGGGCCAGACCCTGCGGACACACCCCAACGGTAGCTGAACCTGTGGACGTGGCCGMGTAGGCGTGCTGGCATGGCCCACAGGACTTGGCCTGTGGCTCCTCATCTTGCCAGTGTGGTCCTATCCACAGTTCTCCTTCTCTGTGGTGAGTGAACGCCACATACCCATCATGCAAAGCCACATCTCTGTCCCCGGCAGGGGAGGTGCGGGTCATGGGCTGAGTGTGCTCCACACCAGGCTGAAGCAGAGTGGGATGGTGGGGCACGTCTGAGCAGGAGCCGGCTGTCTGCGCCATCAGGCCTGGAATTAGAGGCGGCTGGCTTCTAGCCTTCTCCAATTTCATGTGCATTCTGGAGAYGAGATTGACCTAGAATGTCTTACAATAACTCGTAATTCTCAACTTCTTTGGTTCTAAGCAAATGATGGTTTGTTTAAACCAGAGAGTGTTTTGCAGCGCTATTAACACAGCATTGGTGGGTTGCACTCGGCCAAGTAGAACTGACTCTTTATCCTCTACCATATCTGTATCCTAGCAAGAGTGGATTTATGTAGACAGCAGGGCGTGGGACTGCACAAACAGCGTGGTCTCGCACATTGTGATGATTGTGGCATCAGCCGTGACCACACAGGCACACACATGTGCACCTTGGACGTGGCATTCCCTGTGGTGCTGAAGTGGAACGTGTACTGCTCTGGTGCAGCACCACGGTTTTAGCACCTTGAAGCTTCTGGTGCATCCTGATGCGGTGGAGGAGGAACTTGCTGTACCTAGTGGACAGCATGCTTACCCCCTTTCTGTGCATTAGAAGTAGGAGAGTATTTCTTAAGGAAATGGGCCAATGTTCACAGTTGGCTTTGCTTTCTCTCTCTTCATCACTAATTATCCACTAATTCAGATGCTTTTATTTAACAAATATCTGTTTTCTTGGCAGGTGGCAGGCACAGAGGACACAGGAGTGCCCTGCTTCTGGACTGGGATCCTGGCGCCTGGCTGGGTCTTCCTGAGGCTCCGTCTGACCACCACACCCTCCCTGGAGGTCAGCTGGCTCCCTGCTTTCTCTATGCCTCTGCAGAATTGCTCTGTCACAGGGCCCGTGTGTTCTGCTGGTGACCGAGGGCAGAGACTGAGGGGAGCATCCTGTGTGTGCCWTCCAGGCGGAGGCTGCCGGCGGAGGCCAGAAGGCGGGGCTCGACCCTGGAGCCCGCCTGGCCTGTGCCGACTGTGCTTGCTCCGGCCTGCTACCCTGGCCTCCTTAGGACCCCCCTCTCCCTGGGCTCTGCTGTGAGCCAGCAGTGTCTGGCTAAATCYCCAGTCAGCAGTTTAGGGAACAACACTGAATTGGTTTTTCCTCCTTGACTTTTTCGTCCTGTTTCCTGAAACGTCTCCATTGCCTGAGACGCTGTTGAMGTGGGTTTCAAAACACTACACAACACAGAACGATAAGCACATTTTTATTTGGATCCAGATTTCAAACTCTGAGAAATRACTTTCTTGCCTTTCTCTCTTTGTCATACTTACCAAATCTTCCAGGGAGAAGATTCTCACATTGTGTTGAGAAGCCAGGGGAAGTTTATATCCTAGGTCAGAATCTAACTCCTCTRTTTAAGGRATCCAAGTAGGRACGCATATTTAACAGTCTAATAACATTTCATTTTAAGTTGTTGAAAGGCTTACACAATTTTACCTGCTTTCTTTTTTATTTCTGTAAAATTTAGCTTTATAAAGCATGATACTTTTTAAAATAATTCTTTAAATATTTGCGTAGTGCTTTGGCAGTGGGTTTGGAATGAATTCCCTGCTGGTTGGGCACAGGCCTGGCCTCCTTCCGCCCCTGATAGAGTGAGCTGCCCTTCCTGCCCAGGGCTGGGTGGAGCTCCAAGAGGGCAGATATGTTTTTCATGAGAAAAGGAGTATTCAAAGCCACACTTTCCTAGGCCTAATGGAGAGGAGTTGTGTCCAAAAGTTGCAGTGAGGTCAGGCAAGTTTTATCTTGCATAAGCAGCAGTGAGGAAATCCCAGAATCAATGAGTCTGCTGGTACGGCTGTACCCTGGTTGAAAAGTCCAAACTCAGGACTGGACATTTTCCTGCGTTTTCCTGAGTTTGCACGWGTGACTGGCTCCCTGCATTCCACACTTCTGAGACACTTATAAATGTGTCCACTCAAGACAGGCAGACATGTAAAGGGGTGCCACCAGTGGTGATCGGACTAGTGTGATCGTCGACGTGTGGCTTGATTTTGAGATGACCGGGAACTGGTTGACCCTTCAGATGTTGATGGAGGTGGGAAGAAGGGACTTGGAGAGTGGTCTCAGGAGGCAGAGGCCGGAGCCAGGGTGGTCTTCTGCTGGYGCCTAGTTACTGGCCCGGCTCTGGAGTCCACCTGAAGGCCCTGGCCCGGCTCCTYAGTCCTGCCGAGGTGAGGAGGACCTTGGCTTCAGAGTTATCTGTCAGAGCTGGCGATGAAGGCCATCTCTCTAGAGCGGAGAGAGGTAAATCAGGCTTGAGTTCTGGACTTTTATGGGGCACGCTTAGGAACCAGGGCCTGGTGCGGGGGGTCAGGGTYGAGTTGGGATGAGGGAGAGGTGAGTAACGACGCCCTTGGGTGGAAAGCGAAGCTTTGTCCTGAACATGGCGGCTGTCACTTCAGGTGGCCTTCCAGATGCCAAGCAAGGACCTGGGAGGAGTCAGAGGCAGGAGGAGCTCAAACTCAAGGCCAGGAACTCAGGGAGGCCCTCCCTCAAGGAATAACAGGGGCTGGAGTGAGGCACAGTRTCAGGGATGTGCCTAGTGGGTGAGCTCTGGGCTCAGTCCTAGTACCATGCACACACAAAGACACAATAAGTAAGACTAAGATTTTTAAGAATAAAATCAGCAAAATACGACACAATAGAGACACATAAGTTTATCACAGATGCCAATGTTGTTATTTAAAAAAACCCAAAACTTATGTATAAATTAAGAAATATTTTTAAATGCATCCTAAGATGTTTTAAATTATTCAAGTTCTCTGCAGCGAGGCTAGGTACTAACACAACACTTGCTTGCTTGCTAAGGACATGCTTTTTGTTGCCATCTTTAAAGGTTTGTCCACTCTCAGTCCAGAGGATGAGAGTTATGTCCTCCACACTGCACGCAGGACACCTCTGCCCTACAGTGCTCTCCTGCCTCTCCCTCCTCTCCCACCTCTCCCCTTCCCTCCCCTCCTCTCCCCTTCCCTCCCCTCCTCTCCCTCCTCTCCCACCCCTCCCCTCCTCTCCCACCTCTCCCCTTCCCTCCCCTCCTCTCCCCTCCTCTCCCACCTGCAGGAAGCTGTCCAGGGACAGTGATGCTCATTGGCTGGAGTGCCATCACCAGCCCCCAGTGGATAAGGTTGGGCTACCTTGAAGCGCAGGTCCCTGTGCCCCACAGACCTGCCCTTTGGGGCCGCACCAGGCCCCATGGCAGAGGGACACTGCTTTGGTTCGGACCCTGCTKGCTCACCATGTCTTTTCCCTTCTGTGGCACACCTGGAGCTCCCAGACCCAGGGCCGGGTGGGATTCAGGCCGCCCTCTCTCCTGTGCACACATTGCTTACTTGTGGGTAGATCAGTAGGTGTGTTATCTGTGATCCTCGTCTAACGGTGCCTGTGGGAAGTCGACCCACACACTGGACCTGTGGAACCCGGATTCTGAGCTCAGGATGGCCCCTGGAAGGGAGGGGAGGAGGTCCCTGCAGCCTCTGGCTCCCAGACTTGGGAGTAAGTGCGACGTGAATTTAATGACCAGCTGAGTGACCTGGTGACTCGAGGCAAGCTGGAGAACAGAGTCAGAAGTCCAAGAAGACATCAAAGACTTCATCCAGACCCTGTCAGACTGGCCACCAGAAAGAGCCCACGGCCCTGGCACCAGCAGAGAGAGGAGCTCCTTGCTCGTCCCCGCCCCAGCCAGCGCCCTGGCCCGTCTGCCTCTCCATTCTGCTTGGAAGACTGGGTTCGCACTAACTCATCAAATGAGGCAGACGAAGCTCTGGAAAGCTCCTCTGCCTCTGAGCTTTCTCACAGAGAAGGCTGGGTGGTCTGACCCAGGTGAACGTGAGTCATGAATGAATACGGCGAGTGAAGGGTTTTCATCACCATTTTAATCATTCACTGCATCTGAGACTGAATGCAGCACCACACAGGAAGGCCGCCGACTGGGATGGCTCTCTGCTAGTGAAAGAGAGGAGTACAGGGACAGCCACGCTGCCGCGGAGGTTCTGTGGCACCCGCTGCCTGCTCACAGGTCCTCCGACTCTGGCACCGTGGTGTCCTCTGCAGACTCGGCAGCTACCACTATGGGAAGATTCTCAGACACCCATCCCTTGGGAGTCCTGTTGAAGGACCGTCGGCCAGAAAGGGGGTTGGCAAAAGCCATGAACCTAGGGTCTGTCAGCAGCAGTAGCTCAAAATCTGGAACTTTGAATTTCACCACTTTTGATGCCTTTTCAAATCCTCCAAATGGGGTGGCCACTCTGTGGGAAATGGAGAGAAAAACAAGTAACAATTAATATTCAGAGTTAACAGGGAGCAGTTCACATTCTCAAGGTTGTGTTAGGATGGTCCTGCACTCCCAGTGCACAGTCTCCAGGCTGGGCCTGCAGGCCAGCTTTCCTGGGAGGCCCAGGTCTTTAGATGGAGCTGGGTACGTGCTGAGTTGAAGTACAGTAGCCCAGGCCTCTGCCTGAGCCTGCAGGAATGGCCCTTACCAGGGCCTGTGCTGGCCATGTCCCCTGTTTAAGGTCCCTCCTCCTGCTTTCTTCCGCTGGTCTACACTTGGGGTCCTTTGGAGCCACCCTCCCTTATCCCAATTCTGTAGCCTAGATGGTCCCCCAACTTCCTACAGCTTCTCTTTTCAAGTACAYGTTTGTTTGGGATATCTGTGAATGACAAATTCTTTGAGGGCAAGGAGCATGGCTTTTGCATCTTTCTATCTTCATCTCAGAAACCTCCGCATTCCCCCACGGCTCTCTCAGTCGCGTCCCGCTTCCTTCCACACATTTCTAGTGGGTGGTGCTGATTTATTCATTCAGCCACACGCACGGTTCTAAGTGCTCAGTGGAAACAGAAGTCGGAGTCTTGGGTGGTCACCAAGGGCAGCATGAGACAAGAAAGAAACTCAAACATGGCAGAGTGCCTCGCGGTGATGGAGCTGGGCGGACAATCATAATGGGTCCTGTGATCCTGGGCTCCGGCTTCCGCGTTCTCGGGACTCCCTGTGGCCTTTCTAGTTAGTTCACATGCTCCTGTCACCAGATAGCACCTTTGAACACCTCAGGAAACCAGATGGGGACTGTGAACGTCCAYTCTCCCAGAATGTGAGTAGGCCTCAGGGAACTCTCCAGGATGCACAGGAAGCACACGGACAGAGCAGGGACACGGTGTCAGGGCACCATGAGGGCCACAGCTGTGAGCCAGATACAATGGAAGTCGACCTTCCTGGGCTAGAGGGAGGAGCTTACAGAGCCAGTGTCATCAAAGGCTGGGAAAAGTGGTGAGAACGCAGCAGAGAGTCCACTCGCCCACTCCCTGTCAGAACTTTAGTTTCTCTAAATGGAATGAGGTGGGGCAGGGGCGAGGGACGGGCGAGGCATCAGAGGAACAAAACAGGCTGGCCACAACCTTCTTCAACACATGAAATCCTGAACCAGCGGGGAGCGGTGCTGGCTGCGTGTTGAGGAGAAAGGGCTCTGCCTAGGGAGGCCGAGGCAGGAGGGTGGCAAGTTCAAGGCCAGCCCTGCCATTTAGCGAGGTCCTGTCTCAAAACAAAAAAATAGAAATAAAAATGGGTGGGGATGTGGTCCCAGGTAGGGTTTACCTGGTTGAACCCCAAAAGAAGAGAGAAAAGGCTGACCCAGGATCATCCACGTGCCAAGGTCTTCTCTCCTGAAGGGAGAAGGTGGACTCTGTTTCAGGAGACGGGCAGGTTGGTGGCGTGAGAGTGTTCCTGGCCTGGTGGGCAGTGCCCAGGCCTGTGCTCCTCCATTCAGGGAGAGACGGTTGGCAAAACCATGCCTTCCTGCAGCCACGCAGGGAGACAGAGATGGTCTCAGCCAGCATGGGGGCCTCAGCAGCCGAGCTGAGGTCAGGGCCTGCCCAGGGGATGGTAGAACTGGGCATGAGGAGGAGGGGGCTCAGAGGGGCTGTTGGACCACAGAAATGGAGAAGCAGGGGTGAGCGGAATCGGAGCATCAGTGAAGGAAATGGTACYGGGCAGCAAGGGATGGAGGTGGCAGAGGGAGTCCTGATGTTGAGGTGACAGTGATAATGGCAACTGTGCAGTTAGCAGGGAACCTCCGTCCACACACCCTGGTCCGCTCGCACCTCTCTCCCTGCTGAAGAGCWGTGCTGTGTGTCTGTGCACCTGTCAGGGGGACTGTCCTCCGGCCCCCAGGACGCAGTGGAGGCTGCACCCAGCGACGTCACCGGCTGGTCGGCCACCCCGGCTGCGGCTCTATTTCAGCAGCGTCTCATGAGGCTCCTGCGCTGGGCCTGAAACCGTTATTCTGGATATAAGGGAGACGGACTTGGAAAACACCCTGAGGAACCAGCCTGGCCTTGAGGCGCTTTGATAATCGGCTTCGGAGGAAGCGATGAGAGCAAATGTTTGCCCAGTGGGTACCACGTGCCAGAGGCCCGCTAACCGCTTCTAGAGCTTTTGGCTCACCCTGGGCTCCTGCTGGGGTGCGTCGTCTGGGGTGGGCTCTGAGACCCCATTCTAGCTGTGGCTGAGGGCTCTTGGTGGCCAGGAGAACAGAGGCAGGTGTGTGATGGTCCCCCTGGAGCAGCCCAGCCTGCTCTGTCAGTGAGGAAAGGCAACTTTGACTTGAAGCCTGGGTCAGGACCATCAGGGACGGTGGCAGAAGGAGAGCTGGCTCTGCTTGTTCAGAGTCATGAGGAACTGCAAGCCGGGCCCAGCAGGGCCCCTGAGGTGCAGCCCCTCCTGGCCCCCAGCACAGGAGGCTGCCGCCAGCACCTCCAGATTCAAGCTGACTCCATCAGCAGGTCATCGCGGGAGCCCTCCATGGCCTGAAATGACATGTCACTAAAAATGACACGGAAGCCATTCGGCAGGAATGTCTGGCATTGGGAACTCCTGGAGCACCCTGCTGGGTTGAGACCGCCCACTACATGTGGCTTCCTACCCAGCTCTGTCTGAGTRCGGCACAGCACCAGAGGTGGGGTGGCCGGCTGGAGCCACACAGCCACACAGTCCCTGGGAGATGGGTGTGGCTGGCCAAGATGCCAATCAACTTGTGACTGCCAGGCAGCCTGAAGCAAGGCCCCGCCCACTGAAACCTCGTCCCTGCCTTAGATGTCCTCCAGTAGGGACCAGAGCCACCTTCCTTGTTCTGCTCCAGCTCCTTTGAGGACTGGAAGATGGATCAAGCGCTCCTCTTGTCTGATTTCTAGCTTTGTCTCTATTTTTTACTATTTCAACTTTCTGTTTCTTAGGCGGCTCACACCTCCTGAGCAGGAATCTACCAGGGTGGGGTGCTGGCCCCCCCGCAATAGATGGTGTGCTCACTGGTGCCAGATAGATTTCACTGATTGCCCTCATCTTCTGCATCAGAGGAGAAAAGTTCCTGTGCACCCAGCCCACGACCCTTCCTTCCCAACAGCTCCTCTCTGTTTTTCCTGCAGGCTTGGGGGTGACTTTCTTTCCTGTAAATGACARTGCTCCCATGTCCCGTCGCCACCTCCTGCCACACCGGCAAGGCTGCTGTTTACACCGCGGGCTTTCTCTTTTCTTTGGCACCACTGAGGCCACGTCCTGTTTGAATTTCACTGCCCTCCACACACACGTTGAAGAAAGTCCACCAGCAGAGATGCTCAGCCTTCCACAGAGAGACTCATGGTGAGATCTTTAAGATCTGTGAAAATGATTTTAAGTTTTAGGCCAAGTTTATGAAGCTGAATTTTCCATGGAAAGATCTGAAATGTTCTACTGAAAGATGATGGGCCAGCCCTGTAATTCCCTGAACATTGACTCTTCCAACGCAGGCTTGCCTGGCGGACTGGCTCTGGGTCATCAGGTGGCAGGGAACAAGCCAGTCGACTTCAGATCCACAGCCAACAGACGCTTCCTTGTTTCCTTGGACCGATGGGACTCCATTTGCAAAAATGAATCCTGCTCACATACAAACCCCCATAATCACTAATTATTCTGTAAGGCAAATGGTGGCATAAAATCTAAAATAAACTCTTCTACAAAGTGGCTAAAGCCAGACTTTATTTAACGTTTTCTTAATCCGTGATGTAGGATTTATGCTGTAGATGAGCACATGGAGATCCTCAGAGGTGGAGGGCCCCCTTCTGGCAGTACACACAGTGGGGCAGCCCCTTGCTCCCAGTTCACCTTTTCTCACGTTACCTGGGTTTGACTTAGAATAAAACTTGAATGTCCTTTAAGGGAGCCCCGGAGCTCAAGGCTGAGTTGAACGCTCACCCCTCKTTGCGCCTGGAAGCCAGGTTGCATGCAGCCACCCTCGCTGACTTGTGTGTGGCTGGGGCTGCCAGCCGTGCCCTCTCACTCTCCCCGGGGACTCTCTGGGAACGACATGTTTCTCTCCCTCCCTCTCTCCCTTTCTCTCTCTTTCTATCTGTTGATCCTCTTTTTTATAAAAATGGAAAAACGCAGCAGAATAAAATCTTAAAGTACTAACATGTTGAATTATCTAAAGATCAGAAGAGAAGATACTTATGCCATGTTACCTTCACCATATGTGCAACATCACGTCAGAAACTAAGTCTTGCCCGGGTGATTTCCCCTTGGTCTTGAGTGGTCAGATGAGCACTGCTGTCCGAGGATAGGGAACACCCACTGGGCACCTGGAGAGCGTTCTGACTTGGTGACTGGGTTGAGCTCTGGACTGTCAAGGTGCTTGGGGCACAGCGAGTGCACAAAGGCTCAGGCGTCTTCTGGGGCTACTTTTCTTTCTGAAATAAAGCGGTACTGAAGCCCAGAGGTGTAAAGAAAGCAGAAGTCACTGGAGACGGTCAGGGAGCCCTGCCTGCTGTCCGATGGCCCATGGCTGCCCTGTGACAGCTGACACCTGGGCTCTGCTGAAAGCCCTCACCTGCTGCCATGATCTGCCAGTGACTCTTTGGATTTCCTGTGGATGTGCTCSGTCCCTTGCCCCAGGGCAGTGTCGTCTTCCCGTTCCTCCTGTTGGTGATACTCTTGCCCTATGGTCTAGGAGGGACAGCAATCACAACTTTTTGAGACGTGTGTGTGTGTTTGCTTGGTTGTGACTTTTGCCCCTGGAGGTCATTTCCACTGGGTGTGAATCACCAGCTGTGGCTCTTTGGTGACTGTGCAGTGCTCTCCTCCCTCTCCTGTGTGGAAGGCAGCCATCCTGGTTTTCCCTGTGCATTGGGAGTCAATGGGCCATTTGTTCCCTGGCTCTGGGAGTCCTATTGGCCTGGGTTTGCCCTTCTTGAGGTGCAGCCCTTCTTGGGGTGTAGCACTTTC